TGTTAAACAGATTTAAGTACAAGTACTTATGTCAAGAAATATACAGAATACGTTTACAACAGGCAGGTTTAGCATAAATGCAAAGTTGTTGTTTTGGGGGATTTATCATTGCCCAAGAAATCTCAGAACATATTCAAAATTTTTGAGAGCAGCAAGTATAGACAGCAGATTGCAATGGACACCATTACAATATTGCTTTGCCGATTGAGGTCAGAGATTTAAAGAATAAATGTTCTATAGCTCGCTAGACCACTGGCTTTTAATGAACAGTTTGCATGACACTTATAAAATAGTTTGTTATACTGCACATTATAGCTGTGACAACATGACACACATGGTAACAATGCTATGTCACTGTTTAATAGACTTACCCAGTATTTAAAGACGACATGTTTCTTGCAAAGTAATCGGGACTTTGAGGGAGGTTCTAACTACGTTTAATTAATTAATTAACTTACTAAAGAAAAAGAAAAGAAGGTTTTGTTTTTCCCCTGCAAGTGAGTTTTCAGCGCAAGGTCATTTTGTGTTCACAGACTATTCGGATTTTAAAAAAGCTGTTCTTTATCTCACATTATGAACGGCCTTGTAATTCCTATCCACACTAAAAGTTGGCTTTTAAATGTTATTGTTTTAACTTTAATATTTCATAGTTAATACAGAGGATAAAGTAATATAAAGAAAGTATATTAATTGATAAGATTTCATTTATCTATTTTGGTCCACTGTTCACTGATCTCGAATCTCAGTCTGGTGTTCAAACAGTTTTTCTTACGATACGTCGTGAGTTTATATCCACAACTGCATTTTGCTTTGTGGAAACAAATTGAAAGCCTGGCATTGTAATACGTGTATGGACATGCTTATAACAAAGCATGGTCCCTCTCCTCATGTCGTTAACAGGCACTTTGATGCAATGTGTCTACCAACGCTTTTCTGTGGTCACTGGATCACATCGCATACCCTATCTCTCTGTCATGATGCAGAGTTTATGCTTGCAAGGATATCCAGACCTTATCCACCTGGTATCCGCATAAATACTCCTATCGTTTAGAGGGGTTAATTACATAGTAACCATTGAAGGTAATATGTTGGTTGTTCTTCCTATAGATGAAAGATAGACTTGCCCAAAAGCTTTTTCATGGCTAGGACAAGCTCTTATAGAGAGAGATAATGTACTTCTGACTCCTGAAAGGAATATTGGTGGTCACAATATGGGAAATACTGTAATTCATGTGTTTAGTAATCATAAGCATTTGCTTATTGCCACATTACTGATGTATTGTTTATTGAAATATTAATATCCAACATACTTTTTGGATTACTATATATTGGAAGTTTGCCAACATCTCATGGTTATAAATATGTTTTTGTATGTGTTGATGCATGTACCTGGTTTACTTGGATATATCCTGTGCGAAGTGCAACCTCTGATGCCACGTTTTCTAGTCTCACTTCCTTAGTATGCATTTGATAATCCCAGGACCATCCATTTGGATGGTGGTCCTGCAGTTACTGCAAAGGAAACCTAAAACTGGGCAACCACATTTGGGTTACTTTGGGATTTCAGTGCCCCAACCACCCCCAAAGAAGTGGGGTTGTGGTCTGGGAGAATGCTGAGGTTAAATGATTATTAACCAAGTTACTAGTTGCTTGCCCCACACAGTGGTATCTATTTATTCCTATGGTACAGATAAGCATTCACAACATACCTGATGATATAAATGGTGAGACACCATATGAAATGTTACATGTTTTTCACTGACAAATATATTTCTACACCAGGGAGAGCTTAGAACCATTGGTTCTATTAGAGAAATTTAGGGAATTTTTTTTTTCCAGCCTACCTCGCCTTGCACCACCACCTATTTCCTTCTGTTGGCCAGCTTGTCCTGGAGAGGGTGACTCAGATAACTTTTACTACAGAGAACAATCAGAGCCAACAGAGAACAGTAAGTTTTGATATTTTACAACCTGCTAAATACTTCCAGGACGTTCACAGAACCACTGACTGATACAATGGATGCTGTTAAAGATGACAAGATAAAACAAACAGAGGACGACAGAAAAGCCACCAGAATCATAGCCACATAACAGACTGACTCATGATCTGACATCTGAACCTGCAAATATAAAGGAGAAGGATGAACAGACAGACGTGATACATTCACAGTTAACATGGAATGTACGAAAATGAATCATCAACATCATTATAAGAAAGACTCTGGAGAAAACAGACTGAACCTGCATTATCTAATACAGTAAGAAAGAAATGCAAAGATAGAAGCAAAAGGATGCTAGAAAATTGGTTATGGTGTCTCCTTCTTACAATCTGCAGCATTATCATAACATCAACCCTAGCTGTCATTTTAAAACTGCATTGGGATTATGTTAACAAGCAGGAAGCACCTGGACTGAATTGGACTGTACACTATACAAGTTCTGTGATCGTGAGGACTACCTCCAAGAACTATCTCATAAGGAGAGACCCAGCTCACAGTGAAATGATTGACTACACTGGTATTTCACAAGGAACCTATTGAGATCATTCCAAAAACCGATTATACATGAGAAAGATGTGATTGGACTAATACAAATCCTAATAATGGACTCAACAATGATGACAAAGCATGCTGAAAACAGAAAAAGATGGGACAGATGTTTGTGAAAGACTTTGGATGCACCTATGAAGGTGATGCAAGAAAAGACTTTGCCATATAGTTTATCATTGAGTGACTACCGCAAACAGCCTTCTTATGCTGAAAAGAAGTGCTATGCTAATTCTGGACATTGCAATTATGTATCCAGACAGAAGATGACCGGAAAAAGAAATAAAGGCTGATAACTGTCAACACCCAGCTGTTTTTCAAGATGGAACATGGTACTGAGAAAACCTGATTGACTATCAAAGCACCTCACAGTACAAGACACAATTGTTGCCTACAACTCAGAAAAAGTGGTTTATAGGAAGGAGCAGAAGAAGAGGAATATAGATTTCCTACTGGAGTGAAAAACCATCCTGGAACAATATTCTGTAACATTGAACTTTACAATGACATTTGGTGGCATATGAATTTGAATTCGGAAGAAACACATCAATTAACGAAAGAAACCTTGATGCAATTAATAAATAATAACAATACCGGCCTACTAAGAGCAGATGCCCTGAAAGAGAATGGAATATAAAAGACCAGCAAAATCTTTCAGAAACCTGACATCACGGGACACTTGTACTAAAGCACAATTTGCAGCTTTTCTTAAACTCTACAAATTATGTACATACCTGCAAAGCAAGGAACTCCTGTAAACATAAACACAGAGACATTGATACAACAAGGAATCTGTAATGGTTCTGTTGCAGATGTGATCTACCGTCGTACTCCTTGCTCTTTTGGTATAACTATACCAATCAAAATGTTAAATGGCTCCATAGAATCAAATGACAAAGGATTCTTATATTCTGGACTTCCAGGAATGTGGTGCATGGACCGAAAATTATAATTACTAAAGCAATCATGCTATTTTTTTCCTGTATCAGAAATGTGTCAGTGATAATGTGTAATATAATACAGATACTATAATTAATGGTATAAAATAAACACATAATGTGTTAATTACAAAGGTGGATAGACTTTGTGAATATCTGAAACGCAATTGAAGATTATTGCTAAAATGCCATATGCAGCTGCAGTCTGGCCTACAAACAAATATATTAAACATACGTATAAGAGCCTAACAGCTAATTACCAAGATGAATAATTGAATCATGATAGTTAAAGATCATATGATTGCAATAACAACTGCAATAATGAATAAGGTTTAAACTTTAGAAGAAAATATAAAATGTTTTTATTAAAACAGAAACTACTCGATATTCGTTTAAGTTTGCAGAGTGGTATAATTAATATAAGTGAAATACTTCAACAGTTAAAAACAGTTAAGACAGGCAGAAACTTTACTTCAACTATCATAAAGTTTATTTATAATGATAAGAATATTCAGTCTGCCAGAGCTAAGGCCAGTCAATGGAAAGAAAGAGTATTATGGATTAACCCGTCCAGGTGACATACATGATGAATTTAGAAATTAATAATTTAGGTCACCTATTGCAAACTGGTGAAATGAGTTCTAAGATATAAATTCAACATCCATACCATTCTATGTATATTAAAATAAACGTAATCAAATATTTTATCAGTTTTTCAAATACAAAGAAAATGTTATTTGGTTTGTAATGGTTAAAGGTACATAAAACCACCTATACAAAGGTAGTGTTAAAATATAAATACCTTCAATATTTTATCTGAGTGCTTTCTTAACTCACTTTTAGAAATAATAATACATTCTAATCATCTTAAGCTACATCCAACAGCCACTGAAAAATATACTTAAACAATTAAGATTCTCATTGTTGAGCATCCAATCTCACAAATGTAACTTTCCACAATGGCTGTCAGATCTTGGTTAAAAAAAAAAAAAAAAAATGTTTTCTAAGACAATATTTGAGGGGTTTCTGGTATTTTAAGCCACTAATAACTGTAGTTATTACATTTACTAATAATAACTAGGGAATAAGTGGTCTTCTCCCTAACAGGTCAAAGAAAGATAATTAACGTCATATTTCCAATTAGCAACTATTCTAAATATATTGAGAGATTTTGAATAAAGGAGTATTTTTTACATTTAAAGAGAATGTAATTTTACATACCATTGTGAACAAGGGCGGTAAATACTTTGCTGCTTCAAATTATCCTTATATATCTAAATCATATACAAGGGTGTTTATCTTTAATACAAAACACTAGAAAGATTAAATATGTTACTATTTCATCTATCATTATTATACAAAGTATAACAAATGTAAAGATTTTTCCACAGATTTTACCTGTTAACATTTTTAGCACAACAGCACCTGATGTCAGTGAGATGTCTATCACTGAGATGTTACAAAGATTCCAATACAGCAAAAAGAGGCGTTCTTGAGAATCCACTTCGATTGCTGTATCAACATAAAATTTACTATAATGGGATCCATGTCACTTAAGACAATGTCTTGGAAATTATGTCAATTAATTTATTCCGTAAAAGAATATCGGAGAGTATCCAATCTATACACATCATAAACGGTGTAAAAATGTTTCATGGAAAAAACAAACAAAATAAAAAGCAAAGACAAAAGACAAAGACAAATACCAACACCATCACCACGGTGATAACAGATGATGCTGATTCAACCAATTCTAGCCAAATATTTGGAAAGCTGGACTCTACAACCAATACTATACAACAAATACCCGGGTATTCTACAAACACAACCTCCAGCAATGTATCTAAGGAATGTAAACTTCTACAGGCCTTTACAGACTTTGGATTACAAATACAATTACTACTTTTAACTTTGGATTACAATTCGTATCCAGATCCATCCAAGTATATCTTACTCTGAAACTTGGTGTTCTTTTCAATTCTTTCCCAGACAAAAGCTTTGCTCATTTTAATCAACCACCTTTACAGGCAAAGATCACACTACGGATATTTTACTGTTACAACAATGATCTAAGATGCTGGGAGCATAAAAAACCTAAAAACAGTTGGAGAACTTTGGTTTACTAATTTAAGGAAGAAATGCGCTACAATGCCCACAGTTTAATGGAGAGGGTGTTACGGGCAAATGCAAATATTACAAGTTTTAGAATGAAATGTTGTATTTCTTAAACTGTGTACTTTGTCTTTAAGAGATATTGCAAACTGACAAGGTGTTAGAAATGGAACATATTGTTTTTCTTAACTGTTTCTTTAAGCAATAACCTCAGTGCATAATATGTTTGCGCCATTTTGTCCCAGACGAATTACAATAACAATAATGCATAAACAAGCTTCAAGGCTATTCTACGACACTTGCAGTACACAATATACTGTGGTAACCCCAAGTTAATGGAACTTCCCCAAATCCGGGAATCTCCCACGACTGTACACTTACGACTTAGTATAAACAACAGATAACCTATTTAGACTTTAAGATGCCATCTTGAACTAAGTCAGGAAAATTTCCGTGACGTATACACCCTTTAGTTATGGCCTTGTATGTTTGCCAAGTTAAGGGAGGTCCTAAAATGAATAAAGTAAAAGAAGTGGTACTTTTTCACATATGAACTATGGTAACTCTAAAATGACGACACCTAAGGTATAAATAGGTGTACTTTTAAATGTTAAGAGACAGAGGAGAGACTTGGAGACAGACGCTGCTCCATCTTAAAATGACAGAGAGGCTGACATGATGACATGTTCAGAAGGGTATGTTAACCTATTAATGATATTTGCAAGCATGTAATTTAATCTTATAAACTCTGCTATAATGGATTTTATATTTTTATATAATAAATATCCAAAAAGACAAAACTATTGCTTCCAAGACAATCCTTATTTTATATTGTATTCTCAATTATTTATATATGTTAAATAGAGGATCTCTTACACTATATAAAATTATGGCTAAGATATCTGTATGGTTAGCCCTACTAAGTTCTATGCTTTAAGACATTATAGTGGGAAATAAGGGAACCACCAGCGGTTACAGGCTTTTCCAAGTCGTAATGTACTATAAGACGTGAACTACGAACTAGTTCTTTTGACTTATGGAAAGCTGAAGCACATTCTACTGTCCAGCGCCATTGCTGTTTACTCTTTAGAAGACGATGTAAAGGGTACAGGACATGAGCTAAATATGGCAAAAAACGGTTGTAATAATTTAACAGACCAAGATAGGACCTTAGTTGTGTCACATTTTGTGGAGTTGGAGCATCCCGTAATGCCTTGACCTTCTCATCTGTTGTATGCAGCCCATGTTTGCCAATTACATGAGCACAAAATTCAAGACGATCCTGCATGAATGGACATTTATCCAAATTTAGATACAAAGAGAGAAAAGGAGATACAAGGGAGCCCACCGGGAACAATATCCCAGTCCCGTGGGACTCGAATGTATCTAGAGCAACCCCAAATAAAATAAAGTAATAAAATCTAACTTTTATTGAGTAGAGTTTAAAAATAGTAGTGTACAAAATATATAAGAAAAATACACCAAATACACCAGCCTAGTGGCTGTGTGTAAAAGCAGGGGGGGGGGGGTATGATGGGTAAAGGTGGAGCTAATAGGAAGAGGGCAAATAAAGTGATTACTGCCTCTCTCTTCTGTGGATTTACACACTCTTTGTAGGTGGCCCATTTTACCACAAGCATGACACTTGGCATCCTTGAATCTGCATGTAGTTGAAACATGTGTAGTAGCTCCGCAGCGATAACATTTGTAATGTGAATGTTCCTGTTTTGAAAGTATCTTTCCCTGTGGTTCACTTGGTGCTCTAGCATCTAATTTTAAAACGTCTACCTCTGCCTCCTGTGTGCTGTCCAGTCTGCTGTGTAATAGATTAGCATCCTTAGAGGCTTGTTCTATAATGCTTGCCATGTTCATTACCTTTTTAAATGTTAAATCTTCTTCTGTAAGCAGTCTCCTTAGCACTGCATCACTTGCAATGCCCATTACAAACTGGTCTCGCAGAGCAGTGGGCAGGTAGTCCCCAAAACAGCAGGTGCTGGCGAGTTTCCGTAACACAATGGCATTTGCTGAAACTAATTCACCAGGCTCTTGTCTTCTTTTATAGAATTTAAATCTCTGTGCTATCTCTAGTGGTTTTGGTTGGAAATTGCTAGTTAACAGAGTAATCAGGCTTGC